CAAGTAGTATGTCTCCTAAAAAAATCCACGGCGAATTATGAGTACTGCATTCTACCAACTGAACTAAATGGATTTGGTGTCATAACTTTATAAATATGTTAATACTAATAACATATAATTATTCCCAATAATATTTTTAACAAAATCTCAAGCGATTTTGCGTGCTTACGTAACAAAATCATCTGTTGGCGTGATGATTTTATTTATTTAAAATATTTTATTTTCGTAATCATTTATTTATAAATTTATAAAAAAAATGATTTTTTTTTTTAATTTTGCCATGCAGAGTATGTTGACATGAAAATTAACTGTTACTTGGCTACAATAAAAATGATGCTGATGATACACAACATTTGATTTCATGTTCTAATAATTCTGCTTTTTAATAACCCATTTAACAAATAGTCAAAACCCTCATTAAACAGTTATGCAACTCAATTGATGTTGGGGATGAAACAATGGAGGAGATGGGGAATCAATCATTTGTTGTTGTGCAATCAAATATGGACATAGAAAAGATAAGAGGATGTTAATCTATCTTTTGTAATTGTACAAAAGAGTGATGTGTTATCAATAAAGTTTTAAAAAGATTATAAAAGTGTGAGAAGTTTTTGACTCAGTTTGTAGATCAATCAGCAATAAAGATACAATCTCATGAAGATATTTGTCGTTGATCATGCTCGCCTTGTCGATGAGGATCGAATATCTTATTTTAAATCTTGGATGTCACTACCAATTGGTGACTTTAAGAAAATAAATTTAGAGTGGGTAATAAAAGCACAGTGTACCACACTTACATTACATGTGACTGTGGTCATGATTTTAAAACGTATGAGGTATTAATTGACTGCCTATTCCAGAAGGGTTGTAATTCTAGCAGTCTTGTTGAATTTCACTCCTTTCTAGGAGTGAAATCCTTTAGTCCCAGTTTTTTTAGATTAGGTTCAAGCGTCATGTCTTCCATTGGTAGAACTCATCTTAGCATAGGTTATGAGATGGTCCTGTCGACCTTATCGCTGGTCTATCATCTCCTAGCCTTTTTTTTGTGGCTTACTCTATAGAATATAAAAACTAATCTTCTGAAAATTGCTCAACTTAGACAAAAATCATCATTTCAACTTCGAGATTTTAAAGTCCAAATATAAGATAGACTAGATTAATCATTGGGCCTTCTAGTATATGGTGCTCTTACACCTTGTTTGTTAGCTTTCAATAAGAGCTGTTTCAATTATTAACATTTCAAAATCTATGCAACAGTTTTGAAATCAATCGTTACAATCCGCAAAAATGATTAGCCGCTATTTTAATCGAGAATTTTCTTAAAAAATATTATTTACTAAGATGTAATTAGTTAAAGGGGATTGTCTCTTTAAGGATCAAATCCCATAATTAATATAAACCATTTTTGTTTTTTTAAAAAAAAAAAAAAAAAAAAAAAAAAAAAAAAAAAAAAAAAAAAAAACTTGTGATTTGTAGCCCTGAGAAGTAGTGGAACAATCATTTTGGGATTGGATCCATAGCAGGGTACCATTTCCATCCCTCATGTTGATATGCTATACATTGATATGGCATTTGATCCCAAGTGAGAAATTTTAAAACTCCTATGCGTAGTCCCCCACAGCACAAATATTCTCACAGTTAAGTGCAATAGTAATGTATAACCAAAAACACAAGTGCGAAAGATTGTTAACAATATTTTCATATTGTGGACAACCCATTAACTCAAATTCTATCCACATTAATAACTATTTCCAACATGGCTTAAATGTTTACATGTACGCCTTAAGGTGTTATTCTACACAGCTCTAGAAGAACTATCAAATGACAATTGACATCCAACATACAATGAAACAACCATACAAACACTTCATGTTAAGCAGCTATGCAGTATGAAACACATTTCGGGCATAGATATACATCAACTTGTGTCAGACACAACTTCTACGTGTCTAATTCAAAAAATGATAATTAAAAATATATAGAAAAAATTAAATTTAGCCTTTATTCATAATCCTTAACCTTTTTTCGCTTTTTATTTCACTACTTGTCTCATCTCTTACAAATCTATTGCAAATCAACCCAGCTGAGTTTTTTTCTCTCGCGTGCAGCTAGGGTTTGAATCAAGATTGTTGGATCAAGTGAATGCAACTGCTGGCAAGAATCATCATCGTCAAAGCCCAACATCATTTCCCCGATCAAAACCAAAGCCCAATAACTCATTTTATAGCTGCTAAAGCTCCAAGTCTGACTTCTTTAAGTGACTGCAATGACTATTTTCATTTAGCATTTGTAACTTTATACTGGATTTACATTCTTATGCTATGTTGAAGCATATAGCAAGAATTATTATTGCATGTTTTTTATTATATTACACGCAGAAGAATTAGGAGAAGTATATCCAATTTTGTCTTAGATTTTTAATCTCCTCATATTTAAATGCAACAAAATCTTTGATTTAATTGGTTCTAAGTGTTATTAAATTTAGGGTTTATTTTGAAAGTATCAAAGCCCAACATCATTTCCCCGATCAAAACCAAAACCCAATAACTCTTTTTTTGTCCATTATGAATTTCAAACCGCTGCCACATTTCAATTTTAGAAACTACTTTCTTGTTGCTTTTTAAAACCTTTTGGGATGAAAAGCTGATTTTTCAACCCGATCTATTAAAATACGTCGGTTATAAGAAAATTATTATGATTTTTTGGACAAAAATATATAACTATAATTCCCGTCAAAACTTTCTGAGAAAGCTGCTTTCTCCGCGACAACTTTACAAAAACTACAGCCTCCCGAACAAACCATTAGAGAGATTAATATGTGTCATTATGCAATTTACAATGAAGTCGGAACATTTCCAAGATGAGAAAATTTAAGTTTTTAAAATCCATGGAACCGCCAAGGACGCTTAACACTTTCAATGGTCCGTGCCTGTTTGACATGTGTAACCAATATTTTTTTCCTGGGCGGAGACCACCAAAATATATATATATATATATATATATCATAAATTTGAATTTTAAAATTATTAAATACAAATTATTCAAAAATGTAACTCTAATATTAAGGTAAACAGAAAAAAATTAAAACTCATTTTAACATAATTTATATCAGCTAATTCTGATAATTTATTCCTAATAAAGTAAGTTTTCTAAAACAAATAAATCAATCAAACAAAGGCGAGGTTCTTAGTTAATCTTAATAATTGAATTAATCATACATACTTTCCCATTTCAATTTTCTACAGGATGAAGTAATAAGATTTCAACATAATATTTTATTATTCTAACCACACGGTTTAAAATAAATTTGAAATATTTACATACAATTCACTCAAAATCTTACGTATTTACATATCTACCACCTAATCAAAATTTCAACTTTTACAATTAGGCCGCATTACCTATGAATGAAAGAGCGTACTTCACTCTTTAAAAGAGTGTACTTCACTCTTTAAAAAATAAAATATTTATTTTTTTAATGTGATATGCTAATATGCAAACAACAAAATTTACGTAGATTATGCTGGAATATTTTTTCCAAAAAAAAAAATCTAAAAATAGATAATATTAAAAATATAATTGGCCATAATGAACCCCATGTGTTCCCACTAAGCAACGCGAATTTAATCTGGCTTAATCACAACCATCCATAGTGAAACGAACGGCTAGAACGAGCAATCAGGCATCTTCGTGATTAAGCAGGCGTGGACTGCGTTTATGGCACGAGTCAAAGAAGAAAAAAAAAATTTATTTAATTAGAAACTTGGAGGGCACAACTATTTCTAGGAAACGTGGGGAAGAAGAAAGCGATGCGTTCCAACAAAGAAGGTGGGGGGGCCCACCCGCGTGTTAGTAGACGTTGATTATTTCTCTTTTTGATGTTGGTTTTACCAAGTTTAATATAATATATTACGTTGAGGTGAGCTGCAAGGCCGTCTTAATTGGACTGTAGAGTTAATTACATGGTTCTATTTCTGGATGATGCTTAAATCACACGACATTAGTAAAAGGATTGTGAGAGAGAGGGATGATTTAAATATATTTTGTACATATTAAAATAAAAGGGTATAAGAAAATTGTATTTTTAATTAATTTGACAATAATAGCAAGAACTTTAGACCTTCATGGTGATTATGCCTGTCATAAACCTTCTACGAAAAACTGCTGTTCAACTCTTTAAATAACTCGTTTTTAAATTGTTTGTTAAGAGATGAAATCAAAAATAAATAAATTATGTAAGCATAAATTTTGAACATGAGTCAATTGCAAATAAAATTAATTTCAAACATGGAATGAAGATGTAAATAAATTGAAAGAATTGTGGTTAGTAAAAATGCCAACGTGAATCTCAACGGACCGGCATACCATTTGACCGATGGACCCATCAACCCATCGACCTCGATCGAGTGGTAAACTACTTCAAACTGATCAACTAGATCTCCAAGCGGAAGCAATCTATTTTTTATAGTCGATCAACACAACCGAACAAAACCAAAACATTTGGCGATCAACAGACAATATTTTTTTCTTTGTATTACATTATAATTTTCATTTGATAAACACGTTGATTCATTTATTTGGGTGGTTATCGTAATTGTTCCCTCTCCTTTCTATAACTGCATTTTTAAACTCCTCTAGATAGGAGGTCAAAAATAAAGGATTTTTCACACTCACTCTTTCTTTCTATATTTCTTCATCTCAACTCTAACTCCCGAGAAATTATTACATTAAAAGTCCTGATACAGTTTTACATCAAGACTAACTCAGACGGGCATGTTTTCGGAAAACAATTTAGGATTAAGGAGTAAGTAAGTTTTTCTTTCTAATATCAATTTTTATATGATAAAGATGTGTATGTACGACAGACGAACGCCTTCTCTCTAAAACCCACGACCTGGTCAGCTTAGCCTCATTCTTACGCGGAAAGCAAGTCTAATCGTCTATTCATATATCCTTCGTAGTACTATAAAAGCCTCAGAGCCCC